TGATGAGGTTATTATGTAAATGATGTGCATGTTACTGTGAATGACCGAAATCGGTGGTTGTTGACCTTCACCGGTGAATGTTGACAATCACATAGTCGCTTTGGTGAATGTCCGAAATATTTATTACATCCGATTTGATATTAATTTATTCGTGGATATAATTACATTTATTCGATATTTTAATACTTACTGACGGTAGATTAGAAGAAATATCAGTGTTTGGAGTATCGGGCAAATATATACCGGGCAATGGCACTTGACCTTAAAAAAATATCAGTGTTGGATATACCGGGCAAATGTATACCGGGCAGTGGCACTGAACCTTAAAAGAACTTCAGTGTAGGATATACCGGGCAAATATATACCGGGTAATGGCACTTAACTAGACCTAGTATGACTAGACCTTTGGTAAATGTCCGAAATATATACTAGGTCTAGTATATATACAATGTGTGAAATATAAATCATTTTATACTTTGCCGGCTAGTTTTAGGCATTATATAGAATGCCTTATAGGCATTCTATGTCCCGATGTTTCATACTTCTATGTTTCAAACTTTGCCGGTAACATACATAATAAGATTTCTCGAATAACGCTTATTCATTCAATCTATAGCTATAATGCGGACAAGTTTTGCAAGGGAAAATGGAATTGAATTTTTAAAATCAAGTTTCAAAATGCGATTTTTTTGTGTGGATTTTGCCAAAGAAAAGTAGAGGTTAATATTGCCATATGTGAAAGAAAGATTTTGTGAACCATTTTGGGCGATTAAATTTTTATAGAAGAATTAACCAATTATAGACAAATATTGACAAAATTTATAAGGATATTGATATAATACAATTAAGATAAACAGAATGAGGTGTGCACGGCATATTTGCCGGTTAGATACTAGACCAACACATAAGTTTTTCAGATATAAAGCAATTGATACTAGAGATAAATGACGTCCAGAACTTCGATGGCTGAACTTCATTAACGTGGATTCCAAAGCCATAAAGCTGGCGAGATCTGGGAACAAAGAAAGTTAAGAGCCACCCCGGCTTTTCTGCCATTGATAAAGACAAGGCTTTTGTTAAAAAATGTGGTGATTTTTTGTCCACAATTTCGTTGTTTTACTATAGAAATGCTTTTTTTAAAAAATGTGGTGACTTTTTGTCCACAATTTCGTTGTTTTACTATCAAAATGCTTTTGTTAAAAAATGTGGTGATTTTTTGTACACAATTTCGCTGTTTTACTATCGAAACGCTTTTGTTAAAAAATGTGGCGATTTTTTGTCCACAATTTCGTTGTTTTACTATCGAAATGCTTTTGTAGTCGAAGTGTATTGTACAGTTGGAAGTGTGGGCTTAGTAGATTGTAGTTGTATTTTTGTAGTGGTAGATACGCTACAGAAGAAAACGGTTGAAAAAGATTATATCAACAACTTTTAATGTTCAGGGTCTGCGCATTGAGTTAATAAATTGTTTTTTTTTCATTTTACTTTCTATATAAATTCTAAATACATAAGACTGCAATGCACGAAAAAAATTTTTACCTTTCGATTTAAATACACTACAAGTGATATTGGATGGCACGTTTTTTCAAGAGCAGGTATAAAAATCAGTCGGAAATAGTAACCAGGAAATCTTACGTCGAACTTTGACCCCCTAGCGCCATAGGGGGTCAAGCACAATCCATGAACTGAAAATCAAAATGGAGGAAGAAATAGTACTAAATTACGGGCCCACAACCTGTGGCCTACTTGCAGACATTTTTTTTTGTTAAAAAATAAGAAAATGTAGAAAATTTCGAATCACACATTTGAGTCATCACTTTTTGATGCGCTTAATTTGAGCTGATTCTATTCCATATCTATATTGTTTCTTGATCCTTTATCCAACGTTATTACTGCGAAATTCAGCATGATTTCAAAAAATCCAATGTTTTTAATACGATATTACGATGCAAGATTTTATGAATTTTGAGTAATTACTTATCGATTCGCATTATTTTTGCAGACTTCACAGTAAATACAGAGGACCGGTGGCTGAGTTGTAGCGATTAGCGCTCCCGTACCACAGGTCCTGGGTTTGATCCTCGGGCCGGGCAAGGTTGACTCAGTCTTTCATCCCTTCAGTGGGTCGGTAAATGAGTACCAAGCATGCTTGGGAACTAAACACTGGGGGTTTCGCTTTCGGCTGACCACCTAACCGGAACATCTGCTCCTGCACCCCAGAGTCCAAGGTCAAGAAAATTGAGATGGGTACAGTAGGCCTTGGCCCTCTATGGGCTGTCGCACCACTGAGAATAAATAGAATAACCTAGTAAATACAAATGACGTTTCAATTTTTTGTTGTTGGGGGGGGCATTAATAACTACCAATTTTCATTAGGTTTTTAAAAACTTGATACATTTATACCTGATACGTGAGTTAGAAATCGCTCATTTAATTTATCACATTTTGATGTGCTTTATTTGGTCCGATTTTATCGTGAATCTGAATGATCTTTTTCTTCTTTTTTTAAAGGCAGTTATTGCAACGCTTTTCCACGTGTTTTTTCCTGTATTTTTATTACGATATCATTACGACGCGTGAGTTGTGATATTAATCGCCCATTTAATAATCACTTTTTGACGTGCTTTGTTCATTATGCCAAATGATACTGAATATAGTAAATTTTCATATCAATCGGATGAACTACTAAATTCATCCCATCAAATAATCATTATCATTCGATCTTAATTTAATAACGTAAAGTTACTGGGAAAAATAACAAATAATAAAACATTTGAAGAAAAATAGGAGTTATTTTACTTTTATTAACTATGTCGGTATTTGTTTTTAACTTTTTAGTATGATTTCAAAGAGCAAATAAATAATGATTAATTGATTATTTACTTTTTTTCACCTTCATTACGATAAACGGATATACAGCTAGCATTCCATAATATACAGTTTGTTAAAATGTGGTTTTTATTTGGAAAGTAATGTATACCGAATATGCATTTGTGTCAGTACAAATACTGTAATGAGATCATCATTATTAAATTTGTCATGTCAGTCTAGGGTGGGCCAAAGCCTTTTGATAAAGGTTTCGGCAGGACTACCTATTCTTTGACATGAACAGTCAGTCTTTTACCCCAATCATTCTAAAATCAAGATACCACAGATTGAGCCATTGTTGTTTTAACTTTCTACTTTTTCAACTAGTGACAGGCTTTTGCACAAAAATCAGTTGTTAAAAATAACAAAAACTTCAAACCTTACCTGTTGTTAGCTCTTTTGTTCGTTGATTCTAAATTGTGCTTTCTAATTAAAACTCCTTCAAAATCTTTATGTGGTTTAGTGGGCCTCATCAAAACTAAAAATAAACATAAACCAAAGATGAAAATCTCATTAGTTTGAGCAGCAGGGATAATTTATAACTGCGATTGTGTATTGATTCAAAAGACTTAAATATTTGAAGCAATACAAAAACATAAAGATTGTAACCTAAATAAATTGATTATTAGCTTTAATTTCCGACAAGCAAGACATCACATCCACAAGCATATCTTAATAATAAAAATTCATATTCGATTTTGAAATCATATATATTCCAATGTTTGAGGTGTATGCGAAAAATATTTTGCAGAGGTAGTGAACTAACGCAAAAAGTATTAACATAAGTAGAATAGAATTATATATATATTTTTTTAATCAGAAATTAAGAACATGAACATTTGTCAGCATGACCGTGTACATATGGCTGTTTAAATTATTTGAATGTCGTGACGGACAAAATTAATTTAATTCATAGTTATTAAGATACTAATACTTCCACTTTTGCTAATACTAGGAAAACAATTTTCGGAAACTACGGAAAATTCGAAGTAGTTGGAAGTTATGTAATCACATTATTGTCATTTTTTTAAACCAAACTAGTTGCAAAATGTTTTTTTCTTCTTTTTTTTTTTTTTTAAATGGAGCAAAAAGTGTTCCTGATCACCACAATATCTTGAGAACTCCATTACACAAATAGAAATTTGATACATAATAGGTGAAAAATATTTTAAAATTTGAGTGGTATAGCCTTGTCAAAGCGTGAACCAGATTGTGAACTGGTCAGAGAGCTGACCTCATATCAGAAAAGTCCTGGGTTCAAATCCCAGACAAGGCGTGGATGTTCTTTCGTTTTCTGTACTCTTGTCTTATCTCCAGGTAATAAGTTTCATTTTTTAGTAATTATAAACAATACATTAAAAACTTACCTGTATGCTCTCCTCTTTTTAGAGGGTGATTTTCAAGGGTGATTTAAAATGAAAATTGAATTTCATATAGAAAGGCAAGTGAGACATGCTTCGGATGTATTTTTAACGCTAAATTGAATTAAATCAATCCCGAGACAATCAGGCTACTAGTTTAGACGTTACAAGGGTTTCATGTACAAAAAAAAAAATCACAATTTTGTTCATGTACCTATTTACGTATCTATCATAAACAAATTAGACATTGTTTTCTATGTATTTTTTTATGTTTAAGGTATCCGACTGATGAAAAATTCGAATTTCTCCAAAAATTATAATTTTTTAAAATTATTATTATCCATATTGGAACTTCACTTCATTAGCTTCCTAATACCTTTTAAATTTTTAATCTCTGATTTATAGAAATGAAGTAAGGGTAGTTTTTCCGTATGCAGAAAGACAACATTGAAACTTTGAAAGACAAGTAAACTGCAAAAAACGAAACTATAATGTTTTTTGTCGCATTCTGAGTATTTTAAACTTTTTGAATGAATTATATTTTTAAGGGACAAATAAAATTAAGTTTCAGGAATTAATTTTAAAATTTTTAGTTTTTTTTAAATTTTTTTTTCACGTTTTCAGAATTTATTTAGAATTTTTCTTTAAAAATTCAATATTTAGTTACAGATTGTTATATTTAGTATATTTATGTTAAATATATTGTTATATTTAGTTCCATTTCATTGTCTTTTAGAAATTTATTTAAGATTTTAGTTCAAAACAAAAGTAATCTCATTATTGATCTAAAACAAAAAGATTTTTTTTTTTTAAATTTATTCATTACACTTTGTTGTACAGCTGTTAGCTGGACATAAAAAAATTTGCAGTTTTTGAGCTCAAATTTGCCTTTATTTCGAATAATATTTTATAAATATTTAAACTTTACTTTAAATTTGCAATTTTAGGTCCCCTGCTTACTAAAAATAAAATTTTAATTAAGTCATTTAAAAAAAAAAATTGCNATAGTACTAAATTACGGGCCCACAACCTGTGGCCTACTTGCAGACATTTTTTTTTGTTAAAAAATAAGAAAATGTAGAAAATTTCGAATCACACATTTGAGTCATCACTTTTTGATGCGCTTAATTTGAGCTGATTCTATTCCATATCTATATTGTTTCTTGATCCTTTATCCAACGTTATTACTGCGAAATTCAGCATGATTTCAAAAAATCCAATGTTTTTAATACAATATTACGATGCAAGATTTTATGAATTTTGAGTAATTACTTATCGATTCGCATTATTTTTGCAGACTTCATAGTAAATACAGAGGACCGGTGGCTGAGTGGTAGCGATTCGCACTCCCGTTTCACAGGTTCTGGGTTCGATCCTCGGACCGGGCAAGGTTGACTCAGACTTTCATACCTTCAGTGGGTCGATAAATGAGTACCAAGCATGCGTGGGAACTAAACACTGGGGGTTTCGCTTTCGGCTGACCACCTAACCGGAACATTTGCTCCTGCACCCCAGATCCTAAGGTCAAGAAAACTGAGATGGGCACAGTAGGTCTTGGCCCTCTATGGGCTGTAGCGCTACTGAGAATAAATAGAATAACATAGTAGATACAAATGACGTTTCAATTTTTTTGTTGGGGGGGGTATTAATAACTACAAATTTTCATTAGGTTTTTAAAATCCTGATACATTTATTATAATATTAATAATTATGACTCGTCAGTAATAAATCGCTCATTTAATTTATCATTTTTTGACGTGCTTTATTTGCTCCGATTTTATCGTAAATCTGAATGATCTTTCTCTTCTTCTTTTTTTAAAGGCAGTTATCGCAACGCTTTTCCACGTGTTTCTTCCTGTATTTTTATTACGATATTATTACGACGCGTGAGTTGTGATATTAATCGCCCATTTAATAATCACTTTTGACATGCTTTGTTCATTATGCCCAATGATACTGAATACAGTAAATTTTTATATCGATCGGATGAACAACTAATTCATAATTGTTATCATTCGATCTTAATTTAATAACGTAAAGTTACTGGGAAAAGCAACAAATAATAAAACATTTGAAGAAAAATCGGAGTTATTTTACTTTTATGAACTGTGTCAGTATATGTTTTTCAGTTTTTAGTATGATTTCAAAGAGCAAATAAATAATGATTAATTCATTATTTACTTTTTTTCACCTTTATACGATAAACGGGTATACAGCTAGCATTCCATAATATACAGTTTGTTAAAATGTAGTTTTAATTTAGAAAGTAATGTATAGCGAATATGCATTTGTTTCACTACAATATTTCGATGACTGTAATGAGAACATCATTATTATATTTGTCATGTCAGTCTAGGGTGGGCCAAAGCCTTCTGATAAAGGTTTCGGCAGGATTACCTATTATTTGACTTGGACAGTCAGTCTTTTACGCCAATCACTTTAAAATCAAGATTCCACAGATAGAGCCATTGTTGTTTTGGCTTTCTACTTCTTCAACTAGTCACAGGCTTTGACACAAAAATCAGTTGTTAAAAATAACAATAACTTCAAACCTTACCTGTTGCTAGCTCTTTTGTTCGTTGATTCTAAATTGTGCTTCCTAATTAAAACTCCTTCAAAATCTTTATGTGGTTTAGTGGGCCTCATCAAAACTAAAAATAAACATAAACCAAAGATGAAAATGTCATTAGTTTGAGCAGCAGGGATAATTTATAACTGCTATTGTGTATTGATTCAAAAGACTTAAATATTTGAAGCAATTCAAAAACATAAAGATTGTAACCTTAATAAATTTATTATTAGCTTTAATTTCCGACAAGCAAGACATCACATCGACAAGCAAGACATCACATAATCTTAATAATAAAAATTCATATTCGGTTTGAAATCATATATATTCCAATGTTTGAGAAGTAAACAAAAATATTTTGCAAAGATAGTGAACTAACGCAAAAAGCTTTAACAAAAATAGAATAGAATGACGTTTTTTTTTTTTTTTTTTTTTTTTTTTTAAATCAGAAAAGAACTTGAAATCAGGGGTGATTTAAAGAAAGAATCGAATTTCCTCTAGAAAGGCAAGTGAGTCAGTCATTGTTTCCGACGTATTTTTTACCGCTGAATTTAATAAGATCAATCCCGAGACAATCACGCTACTAGTTTAGAAGTTACAAGGGTTTCATGTACAAAAAAACACAATTTTGTACATGTACTTATTTAGGTATCTAACATTCCTATAAACGAGTTAGATATTGTTTTCTATGTATTTTTTTATGTTTAAGGTATCTGACCGATCAAAAATTCGAATTTCAGCAACAATTACGATTCTTCTTCTTATTATTATTATCCATGTTTGAACTTCGGTTTATTAGATTCCCGAAACATTTTAAATTTTTGATCTCTGATTTTTAGATATGAAGTTAATAGTTTTTTCGTATGCAGACAGACAACATTGAAACCGGAAATAAACTCCAGAAAACAAAACTAAAATGTTTTTTTGCCACATTTTGAGTATTTTAAACTTTTTGAATAAATTATATTTTTACGAGACAAATAAAATTAATTTTCAAATTTTTAGTTTTTTTTTTGTTTTCAGAATTTATTTAGAATTTTTCTTTAAAAATTCAATATTTAGTTATATATTGTTATAGTTAGTATATTTACATTACATATATTGTTATATTTAGTATATTTATGTTAAATATATTGCTATATATAGTTCTATTTCATTGTCTTTTTGAAATTTATTTAAGATTTTAGTTCAAAACACAAGTAATCTCATTATTGATCTAGAAATGTTTTTTTTTGAAATTTATGCATTTAAACAATTTGTTGCCCAGCTGTTAGCTGGACATAAAAAAAATTGCAGTTTCTGAGCTTAAATTTTCCTTTATTTCGAAAAATATTTCATAAATATTTAAACTTTACTTTAAATTTACAATTTTCGGTTCCCTGCTTACTGAAAATAAAATTTTAATTAAGTCATTTTAAAAAAAAAAATTGCGTCGAAACCAATCGGATGCCTTAATTGAATTAGACTATTAACAAGTCAAAGTTGCAAGCATCTTCGTGTGTAAAAAGTAATAAATACATTTGATGAGTTCTTATGTATATACACTTTTTACTTTGATATCTAGAGTCTATCTAAACATATAAGGTACTCGTACCGATGTAATTTTTCATGCTAAAATTGAATGAGATAAATTGCAAGCCAATAGCATAGTAGTTTTAAAGTTGTGAAGAAGGCCGGGATAGCCTGGTCAGTAGGGCACTGGGCCCATGCCCGAGAGTTCGTGGGTTCGAACCCCGCCGGTCAAAGATTCCCCGTGTAGTGATGCACGTTAAAATTCTGTCGAGTCGCAAAGTCCTCCATGTTCCCATAACAAATCAATACCTCTGGGGGTACTGGATTGGAGAATGATCGTTCTCTGATTCAGGTCAAAATTACGATCTGTGGATGAATGAATGTATGAATGGGTCAGCCTTATAAACAGGTGTGACGTATGATGTGGCAGAAGTCGAATTCTTGGCTGGCCATAGATGGCGCCACTGAAAAACAAGAATCGCACACTCTGCCTTAAATTTGCTCGCTTCCACCAAGCAGGCTTGCCCATGTGGCAAGTGGCATTAGAACCAGGCAACCAACCAAAGTTGTGATGGGTTCTTTCATTATAAGTGTAATTGCAAAAAAGTGCTTCTTGAGCGAAAGAAAGAAAATATGCATATGGAAGAAATTAGGGGAGTGTTCATGTATTATTTAAACTGACCATAAGTCGGGTGAGCCTGGTTGATTGTACGCTGGACTTGCGTTCGTGAGTTCGAATCCCGCAGGCCGAAAAATCCTCGTGCATTAAATGGTGACTGGTGAACGTTAAATCTGTCAAGGTCACAAAGTACTCTAAGTTCCCATAACAAATAAATACCTCTGGGATTACTGAATCGGAGATTGATCGTTCTCTGGTTCAGGCCAAAATTACTACCTTTGGATGAATTAATGAAGTATGAACGGGTCCTCCCTGTAAAATGGGCTGTCACGTGTGTGTGGCTGAAATCGGATTTTTGGCTATAGATGTCACCGAAAAACAAGAAACGCACCCTCTGCATTAAAAATTTGCTGTGATTTCTTACAATTCAAATTTATAAGAAAAAATGTCTAATTTTATCGGACAAAATATATTTTACCCTTCTTACTCAAGGGTGCCTTTCCGGCACCATAAATTATCTACCACTCTGAGAGTTAAAATTTTTACACCCTGGTCATAGGTCGACATCACTCAGAATGAATCATGAGAAATTATTAAACACTCTAAAACTATTTATGTTTCGGAATTGGTGGCTGTTGTTATATTTTTAAATCAAAATACGTGCCCGGCCGCGAAATTATTCCCACTTATCTAGAAATTTCAGAAATGGTAACAGAAATAATTCGGTTGATCTTATTAATGCTCTATAAAATAAGTTTATTGAATGGTCTCAAATAAGGAAGCGGTGGATACATACCTTCAGCTTTTTGGGATTTTTCACGCTCTGACAAAGATGACACTTCAGTAATAGATGTATCGACATCTGTGGAGCTGTGAAAATATTAACAGTTAGGAATTTATTAATTAGCAGTAAATTTTATAATTAGTTAGTTTAATAGGACATATTTGTAATGTAACAAATTGTCACAATGTGTTAACTAGGTAATACTTTGTAATGATTAAGAAAAATACATAATTCCTTAAGATTACCAGATATAGCACAACATTCTCGCAGTTAATAAATAAAACTTAGAAGAAATCAACGTACAGAGGTTACTAAATATTATCATATCGTGTAAAAATTTAATATTCAGAATGGTGGGTAGCTTACAGGTAGCAATGGTGATTGTGAGATATCTCTTTATTGTGAACAGTTAAAAATATCTGAAAAGTAAAAAAAAAATTAAGCTGCAGTTATAATAGGTTTAATTTTTTTTTAAAAAGCGGGCACTTGGGTCTATTTTTCATTGACCTCATGCCATTGACCAAATGCCAGAATTGCTACTCTCTTACCATTACCCAGTGAGCACACGTGGCTAAGCCACGACGGTGGATTAGCGTCGTCCACGTCATACAACCACAAATCCGTTTATAGGACGGATTGCATTCACACAATCATGCAGAAGATGTTGTTGTAGTTCATTTACGTTGCACTAGAGCTGCACAATGGGCTATTGGCGACGGTCTGGGAAACGTCCCTGAGGATGATCCGAAGACATGCCATCACAATTTTGATCCTCTGCAGAGGGGATGGCATCACCTCTTCGGTAGCCCGACGACCTACACATGAAGTCGAGCACTTTACGGTATAACAGTTTAACGAGGACCAATACCGCACACCCTCGGTCCCTACGCAGACTGATCCAAGTGGTCACCCACCCGCACACTGACCGCAGCCAGTGATGCTTGACTTCGGTGATCTGCTGGGAACCGTGTCTTAA